TGTACGCCCCATTTTCACATTTGTTCCCAACAATAAATTCTTGGTGCAATAATTGTCTCTGGATAACAAGTACTTGCAATATATGATGCATCAGAATCACTAGTAAATTTAAAGACATAAGCATTTTGATTAACATCACCAGATGAATAACAATTCCATGTAGATGGATTATTATCTGTTAAAGTAAATGTTCCTGAATCATATATATCAAAATATGGAGTAATAGAAATAGCTGTTGAACATTTGTTTTGACCAAAGGCTAATACAACAAAGCTAAGAAGAATAAACATTATTTAATGAATAAATCAGTTGTATTTGTCCTTTAAATATCCAACAACTTTTCCACCGAAATATTTTATTGAAAAAGAAGTTTAAAACAGAAATTTCATTAGTAAATATCAGTTGAATCTTTCTTCTTAATTTATTGAAAAGAAAAATCAGTTCAATAAAATAAACTATTAAAAACTAAAAACTTTAACATTTTTTCCCTTATTCTGAAATATCAAGAACAAAATCTAAGATTTCTAGAAATAATAATAACATTTCTTACTAAAATTGTCATTTAATTAGTAGAAAATAAAAAACAAAAAACTAAAAATGAGAAATTAAATACTAATAAAATAAGTATCAGTAGGTCTTGTTTTATCTTTTTATCTTTGATCAAGTGAGATTACACCATAACATTCATTCCATTGAGTGTTTTGTTCATGGGAGTATTTCTGTATCTCTATATTTCATCTTAGTTATTTTATTATTATTATTTAATTAAATATTTCATTTTCATTAATTATTATACATTTTATCATTCTTTCGTATTGTTTTATATTACTTTTTTCTTTTAGCATTCGTACTGATTCTTTATTGAATAATCAATTTATTGTTATTAATACTGGAATTACTTTCACTCCTTTTAGTTTATTAAATTGTATTATTTTTTCAAGGAGAAATCTATATATTTCAAGTTTATTAGTAAATGCCAAACTTACTTTTTATCAGATTATTGTCATATCATTTATTATTTATATTTATTTTATTTTATATTCCGTATAAATATCTGATATTTTATGAAATATTCACTTTTATTAACTATTTGTTGGTTCTTTACTATGAACATTTCATTATTTTCAATTCTTCTTTTGAATTTACTTATTTCTTTTTTATTAAAATTTATTTCATTTTATTCTCTCTTGTTTTATTCTTAATTTCTTCATCATTTATTATATTTATTTTATATTTTAATTTATCACATCTCCAGATATATTCTCTTATTATTTCATGTTTATCAATTTATACATTTTTATTTACAATATAATTTAATAATATATGTTCAATTGTTGATATTTTATCATTATAAATACTACACTACTTTAAATATTAACTCACGTAATTAATACTTTCTTAAATAATACAATTATACCATTTTCTTACATTAATTTTAATTATTTATAACCATTTCTTTTTATAATAATATTCTTCATTATTCTACTTGTTAATTTCATATCATTTATTTTCAATTTATTTTATTAAATGACTACTTACATTATTTAATTTCAATTTATTAATATTTCATTAAATTTATTATTTAAATATTTTATTATTATAGACGATTCATTCTTATTTTGTACCAATAAATATATTTCATTATTTTCATTTTTATTAATTCTTTTATCACATGATTTATAAAATTTCTTCCAAATTCATTTCTTATTCATTTTCATTATTTCTCTTATTTCATTATCTTCTATTCATAATATATTATTGTTCTTATTAATTCTAATTCATATTCATCTCTTATTATTTCATCATTATGATATTCTAAGACACAACATGTTATAGGTAACATTTGTACAGATAAAAGATATTCTTAATAAAATAATTTGGTATTGCTAAACATAATTGTAATATGATACTTCTTGTATCAATTTTGAACTATTGTTATTAATGAATTTAATGAAATGTCATATATTATTGAAAGTAAAGTTAATGTCAAATGCAAGACATACATAATTAGTAAAATGGCTTCATTCAAGAAAGTTTAACTAGTTAAATCAATGTAAAGTATTACTATTAGTGCTACGTTTGTTGGGGAACCAAAATAAGGAAAGAAATAATGAATCTAAATAAAAAACCCCAAAAAGAAAAAGGGGCAAAATATTTTGAATCAATAAAATAATAGTTTTTATTATTTTGCTCCTAAAAAATAAAAAATAAAAATGTAAATTAAATACTCATTCTATATTCAATTATATCTGATTATATTTTATATCATTTTATGGTAAATTGTTCTGAATTATAAATAATTCAGAAATGGTATTTGATTCAATGTAAGTATACATTTTTATTATTATGTTATTATTATGTTATTTATGTATTTTATTTTTATATATTTATATATTTTATTATTGTATTATACATATCATCATATTATCTATATATTTTATATTTATCATGTTTTATTAGTTTTATATTCTTATTATTTATATTTTATTTTATATATTAATACATTTCTATTATATATATTTTATTATGCATTAATACATTTCTTTATCTTATTTTCATTTTGATTATATTTTTATATTTTATATCAATTTTCTCTTTATATTTATTATTATTATTATTTATATTATATTGATTTTATTTATCATTTCT